GACTTTTGTAGTCCGTTTCTCTCTGTCAGAGCCTCATATGCCACCTATTCCCATTTTTCATCCTTCATTCTCCCAACCCTTACCTGTTCTTTCTAATTAGGGTATTCCTTCTCGTCGATTTCCTCTATTGCCACCAGTACCGGTGACTTCCCTGTGGGTTTGGGTTTGGTGGGAGCTTGATTATTAGGGTTTCTTCCTTGCTGGCATCTCTTCAGCGACAATGAATGGGTGATAAAGGTTTAGTCAGAAGGATTCGTTATCTAGTTTCTTTCCCCACCTTCTGTTCTTCTTGCCCCATTTCTTTCCCTCCTCCTTCTCAAGATCCTGTGACCTGCCAGTGTCTGTCAGAAGTGGTTTGAGAATTGCTTTTGAGGTGAGCAATTGAACCAGTTCACCATCCTTCTGGAGTTTTTTATTCCTGTCTTTTCCTTCTCCCCAAGCAAATAGGGATTGGCGACAAGGCATCGATTTATCTTGCCTCATCTGCTTCATAGCACTCTACAAGTTCACCATGGAGTCTTTTTTCACCCTGAGATGGGCGTTTTCTCCAGGGTTGTGAATGATGAAAATGGATGTCTCCAATGCTTACCTCCACATTCTGATAGCATATTGCTCTCAACCTTACCTTTGGTTTGTCCATCTCGGGGTGGTTTACTAATTTTGGCCCTCCCCTTTGACTTACCTCGGCTCTTTATGTGTTTTGTTGCATGTTCTAGGCTTTTGCATGTCATCTCCATGCTCTTGGGATACAATTTCATTATTACATGGACGACTGGCTCACTCCAATCAGGAATCGGCCACTCATTCTTACCAACTCCTTTTGGTAGGGGCTTAGTTTGGCTGATTTATCAAATTGGAGAAGTCATTCCTTTGACTAATTATATATCTAGTCCATTTGGTGGTCTTTTTCAACATGGATATCAGTCGCACTCTGCCTTTTCCTTTACGTCTTTATTCAATGGAATTTTTGGGTCACCATGCCCTTTCAGCTCAGTCAGTTACTGCTCGCGAGTTTCTCTCGCTTTTGGGGATGTGATCTTTCATGACTGCACTGGTTCCTCATGGTTGTACCCATGTGAGATCCCTTCAGTGGGTGCTTCACAAATGATGGAACCTTTGCTTGGGATCCTCTTTCCACCCTTATTTCCTTTCCTACTTCCTTGTGAGATGATCTTCAATGGTGGCTCGACAATGCACATACATTGGCAGGCCTGCTGCTTCACACCTTGCTTTTGTCTGTTCCTTGGTGAGATGATCTGGTTTCACACATTGAGTCGCTTCCTTGTTAGCTCATTCCATACAGCCATCTTCCATGGAAGTATACCAATGCAAGTGAAAATTCTTTTGTTGTTTGTCTTGTAACAGGTGGTTTCCTGCTGACAAGCCTTCTGTGGCTTGTGTGGTGGAATTTCTCACCTGGCTGTTTGATAATGGGTTTTCGGTATCATTGCTTTCTGGATATCAGGTGGCTTTATCCCATACCTTCCATTTTTGTCAATACTGTTGGGTTTTTACTTCCCCTGTTATTACCATGCTTATGCGTTTCTTCTGAATACATCAACCTCCCAAGCATCCTCCCCTTCTAGACTGAGACATTAATGTGGTCTTCCATACCCTTAATTTACCTCCATTTGAACCACTTTCCATGTGTTCCTTGTTTCATCTGCCCCTTAAAACATATTTCCTTCTTTTCTTAGCCTGTGGACATCAATGGTCGGATTTATTTGCCATTGACGTTTCACATACCCTTTATCCCAATCATGAGACAAGAGCCATTACAAATTTATCCCAGCTAGTCATTAACTTTTCCATGGGAATGAACCATGTATTATAAGTTAAATTAATGCTAATCTGTTCAGAACACAATGTACTAAAATGTCATTTGATAGATGAAAACGTCCACTTTCTATTTGTCATAGGTAATATATAATTAAACATAAGAGAGTACTATTAACAAATCCTGAAGGAGAGGATGTGGCAGGAGGGGTCTGATTTTCTATTTGATAGCTCTGTTACCAAACAAAATTGAAAGCTATAAAAATTAGTTTGTCTGAGAAATGATGATTTTATAGTAAGTAATTTATGTTGAATTTCGTACTTTTTGGATGGGTGATGGATAAAATAAAGAAGAGAAAATGTGTCATGTGTGTCACATTAAGGGAAATTCAGGATTTTTTTAAATACTGCCTTATAGAATTAAGAACTTAAAATTTGTATACTATTAAAATATGGATTATTAGCTAAGATTTTATAATATTCTAATTGGTATAACATAAACAAAAAGCAGTTTAATAAAGTTTTGAATGTAAGACACTAAAACCTTGTGTCATGCACAGTAAAGGGTACCTGTGCCGATAGGGGTAAAACGTAGTTCCTTCTTTTCTTAGCCTGTGGACATTGATGGTTTACATACCCTTTATCCCAATCATTCCTTTCTTCCTTAGACCTTGGCAGCTCAGTAGGGTTGTTTATCCTTTTCTCCTATTACCCTTCTTTCTATATTCCATCTTTACCCTTGACCGGATCTGTGGTAGGTGGTGGCTGACCTGGTATTCTTTAACTCTAAATCTGCACTGTTCAGCCATGTTGACTCGCACTTTATTTTTCAAGGCTTCACATGCTAACCATCAAGATGGGTTATTCCATAAGATCGCTTGATAGTGAATAACCTCACATTATTTCGCTTCATAAACATGCCCATCTTAGACCGTACCATCCAGGAACTGCATGGGTAAAGCAACAGGGGATTGCTGCTCTTCTCTGCCATGTTTCGATTGAATAACTCAGTATGGTCTGCTTTTCAAAATATGGTTTCATGGTCACCCATTGCAATGTCTCTGGTGGTGACATTCCTTCAGACTCTCCACTGCATTGTCACCTTCCTTTCCTTGAGTGAAGAATGGGAGTCCTTACCACTTTCCAGTTCCAAGCTGCTGGGGTGGTTAACCATGGAGGCAACCTCCTGAATGAATTTCACATACAAAGAGCTAGTCGAGAGTAGGGCCTCCAGAGGAGTTGAGCCATCATCTTGCTGTACGACGTGACCTTCTGATAACTTTTACACAACAACTGGAGTTGAGCCATTGCCTAACTGCATGATGTGGCCTCCAGAGGAATTGAGCCATCACTATACTGGATGACTTGGCCTCCTGACACCACTTACACAACCACTGAAGTTGAGCTGTCACCCTACCGGATGACATGGTCTCCTGATACCATTTACATAAATACTAGAGTTAGGCCATTGAAATGCAGTTCACCCCTTCGATTGGGAGACATCATCCTACTCTAGCATGGATGTTGGTACCCCACAAAGACGTTTTGAATTAGAGTGAACCAATCATCAGAAATCTTCACATGGGGGTTCGGGTTGTCTATCTTCCTCCTCCAATTACTTATGTGTCGTGGGTCACAGCAGTGGTATGTGGAATTGTTATGGTTCTGTTCTTGTCTATCCCTCATTTTTTTTCTTTGGAGATGTTATTGCATTTGGATGGTGCTGGCTTGTGCCATGATTGGGGGAGTTTATTCCATGTAATAGACATCCTTTCAATACCAGATGTCAATTCTCGGATTGATAGATCAGAGATGATCCTCGTGTCATACCCAGAAATCGGTGCAGATCTTAATCCCTGATTCTTGGGTTTGAGTTGAAGACAGTATGATCCTCATCCTACCCTCGCATGAATGTCAGTACCCCACGAGGAGGTTTTGGATGTAGTTGAGTATGGTCTGCTGCACCCTAGCCACTCTAAACCTCATCAATTTTTGCCATTATATCTTACACATTCCGCACATGGGCAACGAGTATACCTGGCTCAGAAGTGGCTCCCCTCTTCTGATCTTCATATCTGTATCTCTCATTGTAAGGGGTATCCTTCAGATGGTTTCATGGGTACTTCTTTCATTCCCTCACATCGGTGCCTCCTCCTTCTCAATGTGGAATTCTAGCTAATCTTGTGAGCGGGAGGGAGCAAGTACTGTATTGGAAGCTATAATTTTCCTGCACTGAAAAAGTATTTCTGATAGATACATACCTTTCTCACACTTTCCACCCTTCCTCCCCCCTTCTCCAGTGCTTACACTTTCTGCCAAACTTCAAAGTGAAGGTTTGGTAGAAGATTGTAAAGGGAGTCACATGCATCACATGAGCATATCATGCTACTATTGGTAAGAGATAATGCATGATGATTTACCAAAGAGAGATGTTAGAATAGAGTAATTCCACCAGGGGGGGGGCATGCATAAAGAAAAGTTTGCATATAGAGGGCAGCACTGAATGAGAATAGCTAATGTTATGAGAGGAGGTAAGTATCTATCGGAAATGAATTTTCACTATAGGAAAATTATAACTTTTATAAACATTTACCTCTCTACACAACAATCAACCATTACTGCACGTTGTGAAGGTGTCGGTATCTTGACATCTGAGGAGTCTTCGTAGGCCCCTTTTACATCAATCTCAGACATCCAACCTTCACCAAGAGGTGTCATATAGCATCATCTTCATGCATGGAATTTGTTTGGTTCCTTGCAAGATGGGCTTGTTTTCAGAGTAGCCTGTTTTCTGATAATTTTTTTTTCAGCCATCCACCTTCCACTTTATCAATGCAAATTGATGGTTTACTGCCACTGATCCATTCACCACTCCCTTCAGACATCCTACTCTTCTTTATCTCACATCCTTTTTAGCCTGATTTTTTTGAAAGCTCTTTATTCCTTTGTCAAATACATTCCATCTCTTTCTCGACCATTCTCCTTTTCTCTCTCCAGTTCTTAAGGAAATCTCTCAAGCTTTTTTCATCAGTCATCATCCTTGTCCAGTCTCTCTTCCAGATTAGAGCATTTTTTCACATGCCAAATCTGAAATTTTATTTTATGTTTACATATAAGTTTGTTATAAGATGGGATGACTTTTTCATGTGTGTCTAGATGTCAGTCTGTTCTAAGATGGGGTGACTTTTTATGTTGTTTACTCATTATATTTCTTATTTCTAAAGGTCAAAACATAGCCTTCCTAGTTAGAAGATGGTGTTCAACAGAACAATTATACCCAAAAATAACAACTCACTATTCAATAATTCCAAGAGAAACAGATGAAAGATGGAAAGGTGATGTTTTGATTTTTATCGTAAAATTGTTTGTTTGCAAAAGATATCTTAGAGATTGGGAATTCAATGAAATAGGTGTTGCCTATAAAGTACAACAGAAGGAATCCTTTAATAAGGACAGAAATTTTTTTAAGTTTTATTCTTTAAAAAATTTTGTAACTCTAGTAATTACATAAAAGTGAATTAGTTTAATAATGAGTTCATGTTTAGTGTATTCTAGATACTTTTAGTAGAAGATATCACTTGACAGCTGGTAACATTTGTGTTTAAAAGAGCTGGTAATGTTCCTGTTTAACACAGCTGGTAACATTTGTATTTAAGAGAGCTGGTAAAATTTTTATTTAACACAGCTGCTAATGTTTCTGTTTAACACAGCTGCTAATGTTTCTGTTTAACAGAGCTGATAATGTTTCTGTTAACAGAGCTGCTAATGTTTCTTTATTAACAGAGCTGGTAATGTTTCTGTTTAACACAGCTGGTAATGTTCCTGTTTAACACAGCTGGTAATGTTTATATTTAACAGAACTGGTAATGTTTATTTTTAACAGAACCAGTAATGATTCTGTTTAACAGAGCTGGTTAAGTTTGCTTTTAACAGAGCCAGTCATGTTTGTGTTTATGGGACTTGATAACATTTATGTTTAACAGAGCTGGTAATGTTCCTGTTTAACACAGCTGGTAACATTTGCTTTTAACAGAGCCTGTAATGTTTCTGTTTAGTAGAGCCACCAATGTTTCTGTTTAACAGAACTAGTAATGTTTCTGTTTAACAGAGCTAGTAACGTTTGTTTTCCACACAGCTAGTAACATTTATTTTTAACACAGCTGGTAATGATACTGTTTAATAGAGCTGGTAATTATTCTGTTTAAGAGAGCTGGTAATGTTCCTGTTCAACACAGTTGGTAATGTTTGTCTTTTAACAGAGCTGGTAATGTTCCTGTTCAACACAGCTGGTAATGTTTGTATTTAACAGAACTGGTAATGTTTGTATTTAACAGAACTGGTAATGTTTGTTTTTAACAGAACCGTTAAGGATTCTGTTTAACAGAGCTGGTAATGATTCTGTTTAACAGAGCTGGTAACATTTGCTTTTACCATAGCTGGTAACATTTCCTTTTAACACAGCTAGTAATGTTTGTATTTAACAGAACCAACCAGTAATGTTTGTTTTTAACAGAACCAGTAATGATTCTGTTTAACAGAGCTGTTAACATTTGCTTTTAACACAGCTGGTAACATTTGCTTTTAACAGAGCTGGTAACGTTTGCTTTTAACAGAGCCAGTAATTTTTCTGTTTGAGAGAGCTGGTAACATTTATATTTAAGAGAGCTGGTAACATTTGTATTTAACAGAGCTGGTAATGTTTCCAAAATATACTTACCTCTGCTGACACTATAGCTATTTTTCTATTTCTGGGGTTTCCACTCTTTGCCCATCTAAGCATTGAAAACACTATCTCCAGTTTTTTATACACCACTTGAATGCCATTGTCAAATTCTAATTTGCAAAATTCTTCACCAACTTCAATGTGCCCTCTATTTAGGTACTGTATATAAGCACCTCTGCTATGTGATGTTTGTTAACGGCTAGGGGAGGGGTCATTCTCAGTCGAAACTGTCTGTGATATGATCCGTTGTGAGATGGAAACATGTTTGTGGACCAAGGGTGTCTCTCCGGTGGGTTCTGGGGTGGCTTTTGCAAATGACCCCGGACCAACTGGGGAGAATTTAAACTTGTATTTTCTGGCTCCTTCTTTTACTAGGTTGGCTTCAATAGAGGATCATCTTGATCAGCCACCTCCAGACCCTATTGACAGTTGGTTACTTGGGTTTGGGAAGTTTTGAGGTCTCTCCTATTGCATTTGACTCTACTCCTTCCTTTTTGGCAGAAAGGATAGAAGTGACAACTTGGTTTTTCCTCCTTCTCCTGATATTGCTGTTCATGCTGGTAGATTTGCCACTCAGTTATGCAACGGGATAGCTATGCCTTATCCCCCACATTTATTGGAAGAGCATGCTTTGGCTTATCACCACCAGGAGGAGGTACATTTAGATTCCAAATGAATGAACCCCCTTTTGGATCTGTAGGGGTCTAGATTGGAATCTGTGATCACTTTAAACAGATCACAGTTTCCTCAGATTCGTCTTACTCTCACAACTGTCCTGAGCTATTTATCTCTGATCCAACTTTTGTTGGAAGCTCATCAACATTCCCCATCCAATGTTGTTTGCTGGAGTTCCAGAGATGTTAGAATCATGAAGTGATTCAGCATGTTTACATTCTTCTTTATCATCATTGATTTCTTGCCTTTCTGGTGCTAATTTGGGAATGTTGGCTTGTAGTGTTTCCCAACTTCCTCCTTTGGTTCCCAGGTCTATTGGTTCCCATAATAGAGTCCTTCTGTACTCTCGAGGATCTTTGGCTAGGGCAGACCATTGTCAATGGCGTCGGTGACTATCCAGTTGGCGAGGGAATAGTGGGAGCATGATTATATCACTTTCTGGACATCTGGAGTTCTTTCATCAGGAATCCATGGGTACTCCATGTTTTGGCTTCAGGGTTGGTCATTCAATTTACATCACCTCCACCATTATCTGCATAACTGATTGCCTTTTCACCTCCAACAGATTTACGGCGAGTGGAGCTTCGTTCCCAGGCCATAAGAGAGTTGTTAGTCAAAATGGCAGTAGAGAGGGTCGATCCCATTCATCCAGGATTTTATTCCTGTTTATTCATTGTACCCAAGAAGACAGGAGATTGGCATCCAGTTACCAATCTGTCTCGACTCAACCAATTTTTAGATCTTCCTTGCTTTACAAAAGAATCTTTTCTCAACCTATGATGGCACTTTGCACCAGGGCTCTGGATGACCAAGTTTGATGTTACTGACACTTATTTCCATATTCCCATAGTGGAATCTTCCCAGAGGTTTCTCAGATTTGTGTGCAATTTGGGCAATATTTCAAGGTCTGTCTCTCTTGACAACCACTGGAATATTTATCATCAGTTGTGTATTAAAAGGAATTTAAACCCTCTTCATCCTAAAGTGTCCACCATATCCCATTGTATAACTTGGTTATTTGAGAGGGGTCTTGCTTCATTTACGGTGGCTTTATATAAGGCATCTTTATCCACTAATTTTCAGTATTCCAAATATCAGAAGGTTTTTGAATCCTCAGTACTATCAGGTCTACTTAAATTCTTTCATATTCTTCAACCCAAATGACCTTTTCAATTACTGGATTTTACAGTTTTAAATTCATTGTCTAATCCTCCCTTTGAGCCTTTAGCTTTGTGTTCTTTGTTTCATATTTCTCTTAAATTATATTTTTTGTTGTTGTTGGCTTGTGGATGTCATCGGTTGGAGTTGTTTGTAATCCATGTGCATCGGACTCTTTATCATTCCATATTTGTCCTGCTTTACCCCGATAGGTCTTTTCTTACCAAGTAGAAAGATCCTTCTCACCAATCCATTTGCCAGCCATTTCTCACCTTTATGACTGCTCCAATCCTTATCGTTTGTTATATCCAGTTAGGGCCCTCAAATGTTATGTGGCTCACGCTAACTCATTTCGAGGTAGTAGAAATCGATTGTTCATTCATTGAAATCTCTCCATTTCCTTTGATTTATCTCCAATTATCCTAATGAGATGGCTTCGTAAATTGATTCACATGGCCTATAATGGATTATCATTACAGGAGAGGTATCTTTTGCATGTCACATCTCACCAGATTCGTCATATCTCTATATCATTAGCCACCCTGTTGAATTGCTCTCTTGAAGACAATGTGTGAGCTGTTATGTGGACTACTCTTAATACTTTCCTATCTCATTACTTACATGATCTGGCAGTTTCCTCTTCTGAGGGTTTTCAACTACCTCCTGTAACTATTTTGACTACATCTGTTAGATTTTAACCAGAGGCGAGTATTTTCCTCAATCATATTCTCTTTTATTTCTAGGGTCCCTTTATTTTTCATTGGATACCACTCTGTGAGAGTGTTGCTCAGGCAGGATGCTTTTTTTTCAGTTCTGCACTAGCAACCACTTTCACTATAATTACTACAGGATGCAACAGGCTCTGTTGAAATGTGGTGTTCCATAAGACCATCTAAGTGCCTACTGGATGATATAACCTTATTATTATTATGAACTGCCACTCATGGACTATCATGAGTAAAGCTAAAGGGGATCCTGCCCATCCCTGCCAATCTTCAGGTTGAATAAATTGGGCTCAGTGCAGTTTCAAGAGCACTGTTTCTCAGGATTCCCCTATGCGTATTACCCCCCCCCCCCGAATGTATTAGTGGCGGAGTCCTTGCCACTCAGAGGCTTTTCCCTCCAGAGTGTTCTAGTGTGTTCCTTTACTCTTGGAGAAGAGGGTGAAGCTGAAGGCCCTCATACTCGGGCCTCTGTATATTTTTCCCAGAGTGTCAGTAAGAATGGCACCAACCTCCGTGGGAGCCTAATCATAATTCAGCTTCAGATTTGATACAGAGCTATCCGGTTGGGAGGGGCATGGCTCTTCTCTTTGTTCAATGTCAGTTTCTTATATTGTTCATGGAAGGAGGTCTACTATCTCCTTGTAATTCTGAACACGAAGTGGTTCCATCCTAGGTCCTTGGTTGAGCACAGGTTCTACGTTCTCTCCATAATTCTAGGGGCAAGTGGAATATTTCTTGCCCACTTGGTTGGGGAGTGAGGATGAATGTTCATAATTCCAGACCAGATAAGTTCTGTTCCTTTGATTGAGTATGGCATACAAAATCCCATCATTCTGAGCCTGGGATGTTGCCTTTTGGACTTCTTCAGGTGGAGGAGAAAGTTTGTCTGCTTTGGTGTTACTTACTTTCTCGTTGTTATTCTGGTGGTTCTTAACACATCACTACAGGTTGGGAGCCAATCAAAAGTATATATATAAACATTGTGGTCCAATAGCCCTAGCCACCAATGTAGGACATATGTACCACAACCCCTTAATTCCAACCTCAGCTAACTGGTTGGGTCTGACCTATACTGATGATTACTTATATTCTATTCCACCTTTGATATAAGAACTGAGTTCCTGGTGAAGAGCATATTTGTTGTGGTTGTAATGCAGCTCCCCCACTCTTGTATCATCTTTATCTTGGTAAACTCCTGTTCTATACAGACACTTTCTGTATGGTTCATGTCTGCACCGGCCCCTCCATGTTCTCAATGTGGGATTCTAGCTATAGTGTCAACGGAGGTAAGTATGTTTTGGAAGTTAACATTTTCCTAAACTGAAAATGTATTTCCAATAATATTTACCTCTGCTGACACTCTCCCGCCCTACCTCCCCACTAAAAGCCAGTTTATGTCTTGAAAACGTGATTACATTACCTGAATGAGGTGCTTATATACACTGTCTGGAGAGAGGGTGCATTGAAGTTGGTGAAGAATTTTTTCAATTTAGAATTTGCCAAGTGCATTTGAGTGGTGTATAAAAGACTGGAGATAGTGTTTTCAATGCTTAGATGGGCAAAGAGTGGAAACTCTGGAGATCGAAAAATAGCTGTAGTGTCAGCAGAGGTAAGTATTGGAAATGCATTTTCAGTTTAGAAGAATGTTAACTTCGGTTTAAGAGAACTGGTAATGTTTCTGTGTAATGGAGCGTATAACATTTGTTTTTAACAGAGCTGGTAATGTTTGTGTTTAACAGAACTGGTGATACTTGTTTTTAACAGAGTTGGTAATTTTTTTGTTTTAACTAACTGCAACATAAATAATATATATATTTAAGTTAACTTGAAAGAAAAGACTCTTTCTTGTCACACATGTTTAGTTTATAAACTGTACAAAATTATTTATTTGAAACTCTGCCTTACCTATCTTCATGATTTACCTTACAACCGCATTCTTCACAAAATTAAACAAACATAAAATCAGGACTCATTTCAATAATTCAGGAAAACTCTACCTGAAAACAGAAGGGCTCATTTAAAAAGTAAAAAAAAAGTAAGCATAACTTGTTTCAGGAGTTTATAAATCGGTAATTGAAAGAGAAAATCACTTTTTAAGACTGGATAAAAATAATCAGAAATAATTTTAACAATTTACAAAATAGTATGTAAATTGTGTTATATTGTGGACAAATAAGGTATCTGACAAACAAATACCTTTCCAAGCTACACCAAACAGTTGAACCATAATAAGATGTAAAATCTGTGATCAGGAAACCTGAAATAAGGGTACTACCTCTATATGTCTCGTCTCTCAAACTAAAACAAATTCCTACACATTGAGCTAATAGTTGGAGTAGAATATATGTCGATCAAATATTGTAAACAAATATCTTGTAAGGTTAAGTATATTACATGACTTTGGATACTTTAACCTAGTTTTGGTATTACCTGTATGTTAGGTGTCAAGATGGAATGGTTTGGATACCATAATCCATTTTTATTACCTGTATATTAGGTGTAAAGATAGAACGGTTTGGTTACCATAATCCGGTTTTATTATTACCTGTATGGCAGGTGTAAAGATGGAACAGTTTGAATACCATAATATGGTTTTGTTATTACCTGTATGTTAGGTGTAAATATGGAACAACTTGGATACCATAATCTAGTTTTAGTACCTGTATGTTAGGTGTAAAGATAGAACGGTTTGGTTACCATAATCCGGTTTTGTTATTACCTGTATGGCAGGTGTAAAGATGGAACAGTTTGAATACCATAATATAGTTTTGTTATTACCTGTATGTTAGGTGTAAAGATGGAACAACTTGGATACCATAATCTAGTTTTAGTACCTGTATGTTAGGTGTAAAGATAGAATGGTTTGGTTACCATAATCCAGTTTTATTATTACCTGTATGGTAGGTGTAAAGATCAAACGGTTTGGATATCATGATCCAATTTTATTATTACCTGTATGGTAGGTGTAAAGATGGAATGGTTTGGATACCTTAATCCAGTTTTGTTATTACTTGTATGGTAGGTGTAAAGATGGAATGGTTTGGATACCTTAATCCAGTTTTGTATGGTAGGTGTAAAGATGGAAAGGTTTGCTGATGAAACTGATGTAATCATTGTTGGAGGAGGTCCAGCTGGAATGTCTGCAGCCATTAGGTTCAAACAACTTGCTAATGAACATGGTAAAGAGTTTCGAGTGTGTCTTGTTGAAAAGGCAGCAGAAGTAGGTAAGAGTCATCACCTGAAAGACTGAACTTACTGAACTTATTTTTGCTTTAACATGATACAATGTGCCTTATAACTGTGTTATGAACTTTGAAGGAATGCAACATGAATTTTCAGTTGTTATTGATCAACTGAAATAATTGGAGATGCTGTTTAAAATTTTTAAAAGGAAATTTTTAAATATTCAATTAATATAACTTTTGGTCTCATCAGAATTAAACATACACATGTATACCTAGCACTGACCACAGATAATTAAATATAATGTTCAAACCATACTACTTGTAATATAGGAACTATAGTACTTATAGTGATTGACCTATATTTCTTATAATGATTGAACTATATTACTTATGATGATTGAACTATGTTACTTATAGTGATTGAATTATGTTACTTATAATGATTGAACTATATTACTTATGATGATTGAACTATGTTACTTATAATGATGGAACTATGTTACTTATAGTGATTGACCTATATTTCTTATAATGATTGAACTATATTACTTATGATGATTGAACTATGTTACTTATAATGATTGAACTATGTTACTTATAGTGATTGAACTATGTTACTTATAGTGATTGACCTATATTTCTTATAATGATTGAACTATATTACTAATGATGATTGAACTGTTACTTATAATGATGGAACTATGTTAATTATAGTGATTGAAGTACATTACTTATAGTGATTGAACTACATTACTTATAGGGATTGAACTATGTTACTTATAGGGATTGAACTATGTTACTTATAGTGATCAAACTATGTTACTTATAGTGATTGAATTATATTACTTATAAAGAATACAAAGAGCTTAAAATTGCTGTTATATTATGCAGGTGGTCACATTTTGTCTGGAGCTTGTCTTGAACCTCATGCTCTGGATGAGTTGATTCCAGACTGGAAGGAGAAAGGGGTAAGTTGATTCAGTATAAAAGATCAAAAATACACTGCTCTTTCAAGAATCTGCTTGAAGCAGGAAGAAGGCTACTCTCGGCAGGCCTCAACAAATATTTTCAAATTTAGGAGCCAGCCCATAAACTTAGGAGCCAGGGGATATATTTTGAGTCAGTTGTGTGGTTGTGGTACGAGGCAGGCGGTTTTACACTAAACAACAGAGGGTTCATTATTAAACCTTATTGTATAACATATATTAATGTTAAACTTCAATATGTGCTGTTTATAAAAGCACCAATAACAACTTCTTATGTAACTGCTTTTCAAGTCCATCTAATTTTAAAAAAGGCTAGAGGTTTTAGAACTGAAATACCAATGATCTACAGCTTTTGATACTTGGCACTAGATACTGTATTGAGGTACTGAACCTTTATTATCTGTCACTGTAAACCTTCTGCCACTAGATACTGTTTGGAGGAACTGAAACTTTATTATCTGTCTCTGTAAACCTTCTGCCACTACATACTGTATAGAGGAACTGAAACTTTATTATCTGTCTCTGTAAACCTTCTGCCACTACATACTGTATAGAGGAACTGAAACTTTATTATCTGTCTCTGTAAACCTTCTGCCACTACATACTGTATGGAGGTACTGAAAGTTGTACTAGCATCTCCATAGTGAAAATTTATGATATCAGAAAAAGCACAAGTTCACAAAAGTCAATTTAACACAAAAAATAAGAAAGCACTTGATTTTTTGAGTTTCATAGTAAACATAGTAATAAATATTAACAAGAATTTAAATATGATTGTGTTTTAGAAAAAAATACTTGTTTGTACCATCATCAAGCATTCTTAATGTTGTTGTTATTTCAGCTTTGTCATATCTTATATGCTGAAAACTGTAACTTCCTTTATAACCCATATCACAAGATTAAACAAACTATCCATGCTCTTATAGGAACATATCTATGTATTGAAATGTACCTTATTTTACCACAAAGTGAATGGTTTTAAAAACTAAGTACTTAGTATATCTGATTATTTTTTCAGGCTCCACTTAATACTCCAGTGAAGGAAGACATGTTTGGGCTACTAACAAAGAAACATAGAATACCAATTCCAATTTTTAAAGGTAAGATTTAATATTGACACCTAATGTTTTGTATAAAAGATAGTCCTGATCACACAATACCCATTTCAATTTTGAAAAGAAAGTTATAATATTGACACCTAATATTTTGTATAAAAGACAGTCCTGAACACTGGATACTGATTTTATTATTCAAAGAGAGAGAATATTGACAAATAACATAAGAGACAATAATTTTTATTTTATTTTAGTGTATAAATATTTTATTAATTTTGAACTTCTGTCTGTCAGGTCTTCCGATGTATAATCATGGTAACTACTTAGTGCGGTTAGGTAACGTTGTTCGATGGCTTAGTGAACAAGCTGAAGATTTAGGTGTTGAAATATACCCAGGCTATGCTGCTAGTGAGGTACGTCACTCGTGTTGTAGACTACATTATAGTACAAGATTTATGTAGTCTAGTCTTGCAAACAGTATTGTTTAGTAGTGGATAAGCTCAGAAATGTTGTAAACTGGATATCTTTTATCCTTTTCAAACAAGGAAATCTTTCAGATTAAAAATATTTTCTTGTGGTTGTTCAGTGAAATCAACAACTGTTAACATTATTTTTTTTATGATTACTTTTATCTACTGGTTATCAAATAAAATTATTCGATGACCTTTTTGGATAACTAAATTTGCATTGTGACTAACTAGAATAGTCTTGTCAAAATCTTTCTTTCTGTATTACTAAATGTGCACTGTGACTAACTAGAACAGTCTTGTCAAAATCTGTCTTTTTGTATTACTAAATGTGCATTTTGACTAACGAGAACAATCTTTTTAAAATCTTTCTTACTGGAAAACTAAATGCTCATTGTGATTAACGAGAACAGTTTTGTCAAAATCTTTCTTTTTGAATAATTAAAGATGCATTGTGACTAACTAGAACAGTCTTGTTAAAATCTTTCTTACTGGATAACTAAATGCGCATTGTGACTAAATAGAACAGTCTTGTCAAAATCTTTCTTTTTGGAATACTAAATGTGCACTGTGACTAACTAGAACAGTTTTGTCAAAATCTTTCTTTTTTTATTACTAAATGTGCACTGTGACTACCTAGAACAATTTTGTCAAAATCTTTTTTTTTATTACTAAATGTGCATTGTGACTAACTAGAACAGTCTTGTTAAAATCTTTCTTTTTTTATTACTTAATGTGCACTGTGACTAACTAGAACAGTTTTGTCAAAATCTTTCTTTTTTATTACTAAATGTGCACTGTGACTAACTAGAACACTCATCAAAATCTTTCTTTTTGGATGACTAAATGTGCACTGTGACTAACTAGAACAGTTTTGTCAAAATCTTTCTTTTTGGATGACTAAATGTGCATTTTGACTAACGAGAACAGTCTTGTCAAAATCTTTCTTTTCAAATGATTAAATGTACATTGTGACTAACTAGAATAGTCTTATCAAAATTCTTTATCGTTATTATATTTTAATCTTGCTATCAAACATGGATGGCTTTATCTGAGACATCCTTCTGTTTCTTAAGGTTTAAATGTTTTGAGCACGTAGGACTTTCTCTAGGACATTTTCTTTTTCTCATCTTTTAAATCTTTTTATCACATAGAATTCTGTCCAGAACAATTTCTTGTTTCTCATATCCCAAATGTTTTTATCACATAGATTTCTTTTGAGACCATTTTTTCTTTCTCATATTTTAAATCATTTAATGATGTAGGATTTTATCAAGGACAGTTTTTTGTTAATCATGTTTTAAAAAATTTAATAATTTATGATTTCTTCTAGGAAAATTTCTTGTTTCTAAAATTTTAGATTGTTATATCACATTCGATTTTGTCTAAGCAACTTCTTGATTTTTTATCTACAAAGGTTTCTGATGTAACACACACTTTTGTTTCTCTTATTTTGATTTTTTTTCACATTTATGTAGTTTTGTTTTATCTTTTTTCATGAGTGTGATGACCTACCTTCCTCTTTCTTTTTTTTGTTTTTGAACTCACTTTTAGTTAAGTATTCAAGAAAGATGTCATGCTCCTTTGGGGTACCAACAGACATTTCAGTAAACTATATATATAATATAAAACTTTATTTTACTTTAACAAGAATCACAAATAACTAATCAACTCTAATGTGGTGTACATCTAAGACCCAAAACTACCCGTATTTATGAATATTACAAAAGGTATTTAAACAGTATTGTAAGTATGATTGTGAGATTTATAGTAGGGTTGTTCTTGAAGTTTATGTAACAGTGATAAAGTTAATACATACAATTAGTTATTGCTTGTGCATATTAATATCTTATAAGTAACAAGTAAATTAGTTCATATAAAGATTAACAACAATTAACAATAGTGTAGTGTTTAAAAATTACTTACCCTACTCCTGATGTGTAGCGACTTAAATCAGATTAATAAATTTTACACGACTTCAACATAATCCAAAACATTTGTTGTTAAAACAGTTTAATAATATAAATAGTGTCTCAACCTCTAATATCCCAGCTGACCTGAACAGCCTGGCATTATCAGTACTGTATATAGTAAGTATAGTGTTGTTCATATATTATTATACATTCTTCTTTGCTTTCATGTAGAAGTTCTTATAATTACATTGCTTAAGCTCTTTGTTATTTCTTAGGTTTTGTTTCATGAAGATGGCAGTGTCAAGGGAATTGCTACCAATGATGTTGGAATTGCGAAAGATGGCTCCCCGAAGGTAGAGTACAGACTAGAAAAATCGCTATTACTTTAAAGATTTGGTAAAGAACATCAATGTTGTAACAACAAACTAATGTAGAGGCTTGTAACTTTACAGTCACTATAAAGATTTAGTATAGAACATCATCTTGTAACAACAAACTGCTATAGAGACTGGTAAAATTACAGTGAGTTTAAAGATTTAGTATAGACTTTATCTTCTAATAACAAACTGCTGTAGGGTATGGTAACATTACAGTCAATTTAAAAATTTAGTATAGAACATCTTGTATCAATAAACTGCTGTAGAGTACAGACTGGTAATGTCACAATCTGTTTAACATTTGTTGTGCAGGAATGACTGGCACAGCTTCATATTTGTGACTAACAGTGTACTTCTGTCATCTGTCACAAGTTTCTGGTAATTCTAGAAAATTTAGTATAGAACACCATCTTGTAACAACAAACTGCTGTAGAGTACAGACTGGTAACTTTACAGTGAGTTTAATGATTTAGTAGAGAACATGATCTTGTAACAACAAACTGCTGTAGAGTACAGACTGGTAACTTTACAGTGAGTTTAATGATTTAGTAGAGAACATGATCTTGTAACAACAAACTGCTGTAGAGTACAGACTGGTAACATTACAGTGAGTTTAAAGATTTAGTATAGAACATGATCTTGTAACAGCAAACTACTGTAGAGTACAGACTGGTAACATTACAGTGAGTTTAATGATTTAGTAGAGAACATGATCTTGTAACAACAAACTACTGTAGAGTACAGACTGGTAACATTACAGTGAGTATAATGATTTAGTAGAGAACATGATCTTGTAACAACAAACTACTGTAGACTACAGACTGGTAACATTACAGTGAGTTTAATGATTTAGTAGAGAACATGATCTTGTACCAACAAACTACTGTATACTACAGACTGGTAACGTTACAGGGAGTTTAATGATGTAGTAGAGAACATGATCTTGTAACAATAAACTACTGTAGAGTCTGCTAACATTACAGGGAGTTTAAAGACTTAGTATAGATTTTTCCAACTAGGGACCAGTTTATTTTTGTAATTTTTCATGAGGCCATGCCTCTTCAAATACCTAATTAGATAACCTGCTAAGACATGGCTAAGTCTTAACATCAAGCTGGAAGCAATAGTTCTATCAGTACATCATCGATTATAAAATATGCAAGTGTTTTATAGTACTACTGTGTAAAAAGAAATTATACTTCATTGTTATTTAATCTTTACATTAACTGTATATTTATTAATGCTCTTTTAAGAAATAAACTTACCTAATGAGAAGGATGATGCTGTTTTTCATCACACAGCTACTTCAAATCAGGAGGAAATGAAGTCAATTTAATCTTCAAATCTGGCTCAACATCTAATCTGTTCCTGTACTTGTTTTTTAAGAAAACCAACGTTGAGAAGCCTGATTTGCATTTATTAAGTCGTGACAAAGGACATAAGAAATCTCGCTGCTTTTTCTGATAAATTTGGTTACTCAGCATGACAGCTCAGCCAAGCATTAATTAATGAGACTTGACTAAAATGGTGTTTCAATGCGGTGTCACAGGTCAGTTCAATAACAGAATCAATTTCTGATTCACTGAGTTGTAATCCTTCTTCAGTTTCTGTTTCAAGAGTAAAAGGGTTCCTGATCCACATTTTACTGCTGTCAATTGGAGGAAAATATTTCTTCAAGCATGATTTTTGCTCCAAAAGATGCTCTTTGATTGATGAGGAAATCTCATCTGGAATATTATCTTCTTCATCTTGGTTTTGTAATTCTGTTAAAGTAGAGAAAGACTTATAATTTCTCTTCTCAACTTGATGTACCCACAAGTTACTTTTTTTACAGCTGCTTCTATCTTTTCCTGGACTTTAAAAATATTTGTGTTAGCACCTTGTAAATTTAGATTTAATGCATTTAAGAAGCCAAAGTGTCACTTAAGTACGCCACCTTAATTAACCAGTGCAAATTATGAAACCTGTCTCTAAATTCAAATATTGCATTTTTTGCTGAATGGGATATTGCTTCAAAAACAAGATAACTTCATTCTTCATTTCAATGAGTCATTTTAAAAAATTTCCTTTTGATAACCACCAAATTTCACAGTGTAATAGGAGATGCTCGTGTTCACTTCCTAATTCTTTGCACAAAGCAGTAAAGATTCTAGAATCCAACGAACAAGATTTTATATAGTTTCTGAATTTAACACATTCTTGTATAGTTGAATTCAAAAGTAAGGGCATTTTCTTTACAGCTAACACCTCTCTGTGAATGCTACAATGCACCCATTCAAAGTCTGGTACCACTGCTTGAATCCTCTGGAAAACTCCTGTATGGAAACTGTAATTGAGTGAGCACCATTAGTACTCAATCCAACACATTTTTTCCATTGAATACTACTATGAATTATAAAATTATTGATTTTGTCAGCCATTGTTCTTGTTGGAAATGGTTTGCAAAACAATAAATCTTCATGAATTGTGTCCTCATAATCATATCTTACAAAGCACATTAAATTGGCATTATCTGTTATGTCTGTGCTTTCATCTACTTGTAATGAAAAAAACTGACTACAGTGAACTCGACGTATAAGAGTATCTTCAATATTTTTCGCCATATCCACAATTCTATGCTTCACTGTATTATTAGATAGGGACAGTAAATTCAACTGATTTTCTTTTTTATATAAACACGAGATGTAATTATTTTTACTGCAGGAAGTATTAAAGTTTCACCAATAGTATGCAGATAACCTGTCTTGGCTATTAGTTTTGAAATTTCATATGAGGCCATAACCAACTCTTCATTGGAAAATCTCATGGACAAAGTGTGTGAAATTATTTGTTTGGAAAAAACTATTTCATTTTTCTTATTTATGAAAAATCTATTGGCTTACTCAAGTATTCGGGATGTCTGGTATCCAAGTGGCATATCCGTTTTGATGGTTTCATGCTCTCATTTGATAATGTTGAACAACAAAGAACACATAGTGGCAAGTCATTATTGTTACTACCACTTATAAAACCATACTTAAAATGTACATCACAATACTGTTGAGTCCAAGAGGTCTTTGTTTTCTTTTCTTTGATACCAAGCTACACAGCACTCAAACGTTTATAATTAGGCTTATTATTTTCATTAACTTCAGTTTCACTGGAAGTAGGCTACATTTGCGCATCACTTGAGGTTTTCTTGTGTGATGCATGTTTCTTCAGCCATATATCCATATTGGAGAGGGGTTTTCTTAAAAATTAACAACTTAAAAAACTTTTAGTTAGTACAAACTAAGTCACAAACAATTCTCTCTCTCATCTAGAACAAACTGACACTTCTAGCATGAGCCACCAAGCAACTTGTCTGCTGCCACATGGCGCTACCAGACTTAAGATTTGGGTCTTGCATGCCTTTCAATTTCCATTAACAGAGTAAGCAAATTGAACACATTTGGTATAAAAGTCCTAAAACTTTGGTGTCAAGGAACCAGTTTACTTGAATGAACAAATGGTCCTTTTATGTGAGATAAAATCCCTTCTTTGATCTTACCTGCAGACAGGGAAAGATCGGCTTGGACTCAGCAGGGGGACGTGTCTAGTTAACATGTGGTTTAAATTTGGGCATTTCACAAGAATCTCAAGGTTATCAACATCGTAAAACTTAATCTTAGGCTCTCTAAATTGCACTGAGTGAGAACACTTTAATTCCTGAGAGACTGAAGGTATAAAGGCAGCCATCAACTTGTGAATTCTATAGTTTGTACCCTTAAGTACAAACTTTCACTTTTCTTTCCTGTTATATTAGCTTAGTTGAAATACTGAGAAATCCAAGTTAGATGAAAATATAAATTATAATGCATTTGAAAATATTAATTTTATTAGAATATATTTATATTAATT